GCGGGCCCTTGAGCACCCGTCCAGGCCGAGTTGGGGCGCCCGATCACAAGTGAGCATCAGGCGAGGGGTGGGCGCCCGGAGAGTTTGCATTCCTCTATTTCCAGAAAGCCTGGGACATAGGGGTCCTCGGGCCGAGTGGGGACCAGCCGGGGCAGGGATAACGGCCGCGTTGTGAGCATCGTGAGACTGGAGCCGGAGGTGGAGACTTGAGGGGGCGCAGGGGGGCGGGGGACAAGCGAACCCCGAGAGGAGGCAGTCAGAAACGTGCGACAAAGTTTGGGAACAGGCGACGTTTGGACGCACGGGTTTGTGCCTTAGAAGCAGGCAGGAGGGGGTCGAAGGAGGCTGCGCTGAGCGGGCGCTGAGACAACAGGAGTGGACAGTGGTGGGCGTCGGGGACCTGCGGGTTAGGACCTTAGGTGCGCTGAAGGACCCTGGGGAGGCGGCCGCGGGCAGGGAGCCCGGCCGGAGCTGTCGCGGGGGCCGGGAGTGGGCACAGGGGTGCGGGGAGCCTGGGCACCCGGTCCGAGACCGCGATGAGGTCCAGAGCATCTCGCGCGTGGGGCGCCGTGCGGGCTGGCGGGCCGCGGGAGAGGTGACTGCGCGGCCCCAAGCTGGGCTCTGCCCTGGCCGCTTGCGAGGCCCCGCATTCAGGGCTCCGCAGGCATCGAAGGCAGACAAGGGGCGGCGAGGGGGCCGCGCGCGGGGTATCGGAGCTGGGATCCCGAGGCGCGGAGACCCCTCCCCGCCCGAGCTCCGCCCCGGGGGCGGGGGCCGGCCTGGCCAGCCATCTGCTTCGCATCGACGCCGCGCCGCCTCCCGCGTCCCAGGAATGCGGCGGCGGCTGCGGGCAGGACGGGCCTGGAATAGGGGGGAGGGCGAATCTCTCAAAGCCTGCTCTGACCTCCCCAGGGGAAGGAGGGCCTGGGCAGGATGGGGGTGTCCTGGCTAGGCCGCTGGGGGCCTGGTTGGGGGAACCCTGGACTCCCATCTCCCTTGCTAGGAGAAGCTGGGCCAGAGAGCTCGGGATGGAGTTCCCTTGGCCGCGTCCCTAACCCCTTTGGGCGTGCCTTGGTCGCTGTTAAGACGGGATCGTTCCCCCCAACACACCCCCACCCCAGGCGTGCCAAGGGATACCTGTGGTCCTGTGTGGGAAGAGTTTGAGTTGGGGAAACCCCTAAGGACAATGCCTGCCTCTTCTTTCCTTACCCTTTCTGGCTACACGCAGGGCCTTGCTAGTGCAAAGCAAGGAGCCAGAATGACTGGTGAGGGCATTCAACAGATAAACCCGTGCATCTACTGTGTGCAGGCCTGCCCTGTGCACCTGCTGTGTCCAGGGCAGCTACAGCAGCAGAGACAGACAGTCCTGCCCCCGGGAGAAGACCCAGGCCCAATGCAGGGGAGGACTTCTCAGTTGGGGGTCACTGTTTCCTGTGGGGTGGTCTGGGGACACCCACCATAGGTCCCTGAAGGAAATGGGAGCCCTGTGGATGTGGGAATGCTGGTCCCTGAGACAGTAAGGCAGCACTATGTGACTGAATAGACCAGGGAGGGAGAATAGACCAGGGAGACTTCTGGGTGACAGGCCTGAGGAAGGAGGGTGGGCCTACCACAAGGGAGGGGGTGTCTGATGTGGAGGCTGGGGTGTTCTGCGCTACAGGGACTCCAGAGGATCTCTAGTGGTGTCATTGTTATGCGTTTGGCTGCTAACTGCAAGGTCAGCAGTTCGAAACCACTATCTGCTCCAAGGGAAAAAGATGAAACTTTCTATTCCCATAAAGAATGACAGTTTCAGAAACCCACATGGGACAGTTCTATTCTGCCCTCTAGGGTCATTATGAGTCGGCATCAACTCGATGGCAGTGAATTTTTGAGTTTTTATGGGGACCCCAGGAGATGATAGGCCTGACTGCTATGTGAACAGGCACTGGGGCAGAAAGGTACACCAGGTAGAAAGCCATGGAGAGACTGGACAGCTATGGGGGCCCACACAGTAGGTGGTGGGAGGTTTGGATTCTAGATGTCATTTTGAAGGCAGGGTCAGCTGCTTTCTGATGGCTCCATTGTGGACTGTGTGTGAGACACACACACACACACACACACACACACGGATGCCACCTGGGAGTTGGCCTCTTGGACAAAAGGACAGGGACTACCTGAGATGTGGTGTCTCAGGAATTCATTTAGACAGGTCTCCTCCTTGGGGCCAGCAACTACATAGGCCAGGAGAAATCACAGAGGAGCAGGCATGCTGAGGGGGGCAAAGGGTAGTCTCTGGACTGAGGTTTTTGAGCAGATACCAGACAAGGGGTGTGTCAGGGGGTGGGGGGTGGAGGACGGGGTCCTGGTAGAACATGCTGATGGCAGGTGACTGAGCTAAGGATGGGCCCTGGGGGTTCCCCCATGGCAGCCTGGCCTGGGAACATGCTGTGTTCTCAAGAGCTTCCCTGCCTGTGTGGAGAACACCCAGCTGTCATGTGCTGCAACATGGCTCATAGTGTCACTCTCTCAATCCTCCTGTCTAATTTTAGGCTCTATTTCTGCAGTGGAGACCTGGGCTCACAGGTGACACCCGGTGCCAGAGATCCCATGGCGTGGGCAGACACAGGAACCGCCTCCATTGAGGAGGCCCTACAATCAGTGCTCTCACCCCAGTGCTAGGGTGGTCATGCCGCAGGACAATTCAGGGCCACCTGAGAGGGGTGCACCTGCAGGAGGGGACCCCCAGTATAGAGCTAGAAGGAACAGTAATGGGATGCTGCTGACATGCTTGGGCAGGTCTCTCAAAAGAGCTGGGTGAGGTCTCTGGCTTCCGGTTTTATTTGTGAAAAGCATGCTGGGTCCTTTCGCTGTCTCTCCTCCTTCCTCAAGTCCCATCTCTGGCCTGAGGGAGAATCTGTATTTGAGTGACTGAGAGCTTTTTCCCTTGGGAGAATCAGTGACCCATTCAGGGTGTGACCAGTATCTTGAGCTGGGGAATGGCTGGGGGAGTATCATCAGTTTGAGTAGGATACACTCACCTCACCTGACAACCACCCCATGACCACCACCCGTCTAGGCTCCTTAGAGATCTCCCCTGCTGGCCTTCTCCACCCACCCCTCGTGGGTCTAGACTCAGATGCTTCCAAAGAAATAGGCTCCTTTTCTCTGGACACTAGAGGCAACCCTTCACCTCATTGCCATCAAGATGATTTTGACTCATAGCAGCCCTCTAAGACAGGGCAGGGCTGCCCCTGTGGGTTTCCGAAACTGTAACTCTAGACCAGAGTAGCAAACCTCTTCTTTCTCCCCGGGTGCTTTTGAACTAGACCTTTGGGTTAGCCCAACATGTATAACCATCACACCACCAGGGCTCCTCTGGAGGCATTGAGCAACTCTAGACTCTATGCCTACGTGAAGGATGAGCCCTTGGCCTCAGCACACCCAGTGGCTTTTCCTTCAAAGGCTTCTCTGCCCACATATGTGGGCACAGCCCCTGTGCCTGGTGCCTGGCTACCACAGTTTCATGCCAAACCTTTGTGTCCAGGCATCCCAGCGGACTGTGGATGTGGAGCCTGCCTCCACCCAGAGTGTGACAGGATTTACCATCTCCAGAGCAGAACCCTGGTGGTGTAGTGGTTAGCAGTTGAGCTACAATCCACAAGGTCAGCCATTCAAAACCACCAGCCCCTCCTTGGGAAAAAGACAAAGCTTTTCTACTCTCATAGAGCAGTTCTACTCACAGGGCAGTTCAACCCTATCCTAGAGGGTCCCTGGGAGTCAGAATCAACTCAATGGCAGGGGTTTGCTTTGGGGGTTTTGAGTAACATCATGTACTTTATGACACCAGATCAAGGAATCGCAAAACCCCACTGCAAGGAGCCCTGGTGGCTTAGCGGTTACACTTTGGGCTGCTCATGGCAAGGTCCAAAGTTCAAAACAACCAGACGCTTTACGGGGAGAAAGATAGGCCTTTCCAACCCCAGAAAGAATTGCTGTCTCCGAAACCCACATGGGGCAGCTCTAGGAGTCATGATCAACTTTGGTTTCCAAACTCCCTGCCACCAGGTCGATTCTGACTCAGAGCAGCCTTACATCGATCGGGCTTATGGGAGCAGACTGCCTGGTCTTTTCCCCTCAGTTCAGCCTGAACCACCAACCTTGTGGCTAACAGCCCAAACGGAATAACCAAACAGAACCCACGGCCATCTCGTCCAGCCCACCTTCTACAAGTCAGAGTAGAAAGCTTCTTTCTTAGGCTGCCATTGTCACAGAAGCAGACTGCTTCTTTGGTAGGCTCCAACAGCTGGCCGACAGCTGAGGACCTTCGCCACCGGGTCACCAGGGCTCTGGGAAGTTAATTTACGCTCCACCCTAAGTCTGGCCCTCCTGCCCCTCCTAAGATGCCTTCTCCTAGCAGCAGGCCACACATGTTTCCTGCGGAGCCCCCTGGGTATGGAGTTGGCCCCTCATACAGCGTGTACTACCCACCCCCGCCCGGGGCTCCCCCTTCCCACCTGCCTCTCTCTGAAGTTGCCCACCCTCCTTGGCACTTACTCCCACGTGCCCCTATGGCATACCATAGTCCGTCCTAGCACATTCCAATCCCTGACACCCACATAGCCAGGCGTCCACCCTCAAGCATGCCCTAACCCCACACCCTAGGGGAGGCCTAACCACCTTTCCTGGCCAGCCTCCATGCTGCCCCTCCTCCTGGGACACTTGAAACCTGGGCTTGGCTTTGGGCTGTGGTCAGAAAGGTGGGTAGATGAGGCGTCTGCTCTGGTAAAGATTGACAGTCTTCAAAACCCTGTGAGGACAAAGGACTGGAGGTAGTGGTAGTAGCTGGGCAGGGAGACTCAGTGGGTGGGTAGAGGAAGTCCTTAGAGATGAGGCTGCATGGTGGACCATCCCTGAGGGCAGGAACTTGTCTTTCACGGTGGAGCCTCCCATACCATCAACAGTGCCCCGCATGGCAGGCCCAAGGGTCTTCACTTGGCTACAGGGCAGTAGAGGTTGGAGGCAGGCAGCCTCAGACACCTTCCTTCTAACCACAGTTCCCTGGTGCCCACGTGCTGTGCTGGCTGGAGCCAGCAAGGGGATGAGTGCGGTATAGGTGAGTGAGGGCATCCAGGCGGGCAGGGGTGCTGGGAGGAGGAGGTCATGAGGCGCCCTACGCCTTGGACGCTCAGGCCCCCTCTCTCATTCCCAGCGGTGTGTGAGGGCAACTCCACGTGCTCAGAGAATGAGGTGTGCGTTCGGCCCGGCGAGTGCCGATGCCGCCACGGCTACTTCGGCGCAAATTGCGACACCAGTGAGCATTGGGTGGGACAATGACGGGGTGGGTGCTGGGGGGTGGGGCTGGATCTGGGTGGAATGGGCAAGGCCTGAGCTGAGTTGAGGGGTGGGGCAGTCTGATCTGAAGACCGGACAAAGCCAGGTCTCTTAGGCCAGGGCCGGAGGAGGGAGCACAGGAAGGGAGCATATTGGGTAGGGTTGTTCCCGCGATTACCCAGGTCTCTGGTCTCTCCTCACCCCTGCAGAGTGCCCGCGCCAGTTCTGGGGCCCGGACTGCAAAGAGCTGTGCAGCTGCCACCCGCACGGGCAGTGCGAGGATGTGACTGGCCAGTGCACGTGTCACGCGCGCCGCTGGGGCGCACGCTGCGAGCACGCGTGCCAGTGTCAGCACGGCGCTTGCCACCCGCGGAGTGGCGCGTGCCGCTGCGAGCCAGGCTGGTGGGGCGCACAGTGCGCCAGCGCGTGCTACTGCAGCGCCAC